ATACTAGCAGATATATAATTGAATGCCGATTAATGCTAAATGCCGTAAAGAAAAAATTACACTGGGGAAATGGGTAGTGAATGACAAAGTGTGCTTCTTTTGAAAGGGTAGCAAGAAAGGTTAATTTGCTGTGATGGCATTCTTACAGAGACCTTTAACATTCCAGGAAGACCAAACAGCAGGAGCAAAGCCCTGGGACAGGCATGTGTTTGGCAAGTTCAGGGAACAGCATGAAGCCAGGGTCTGGAGAACAGTTGGGGATGAATGTGGGGACACTGGAAATGAAGGTAGAGCAGTTGTTTTGTTCCGTGTCCTGAAAAGGCTTGTAGACCACATGCTTGTGATTTTAAGTGTAATGGGAGCTATTTTAGGTTTGAGAGCAGGTCAACCCAGTAGTCATTTAGTAAATGTTTAAAAAGTGCAAAAAACCAGTTGCTTGGTAGAAAAAAAAGAAACAAAATCTATTGTCCTAAGTGCCATGTAGAGAAATGGCTATTGAAGAAGTATCCCTTCCAGTTCTGAAATTCTGGAATTCTATAACTCCTTGGTTGAAAGGAACGAAGGAAGTAAAATTCCAGTGTCCATTGGAGCCAGCTTTTTAGTCTCCAACACCCTCTGCATACACTGCATACAAATAAAACACAATTTAAAAATAATCGAACATAATTATATAGAAACCAAACTACGACACATCTTCCTTTATTTAAAATAGAGTTCTATATGCTTCACAGAAACAAGTGCAAGTGCTTGATTTATTATCTTTCCCACTTTACAAAACAATACATTTTCAGAAAATGCATACATAAAAATATAACATTTAGGCAGATAATTATTTACATCTGAAGACAGATGAAAGTTATGCGATAATATTAAAAAGCTTTAAAATAAATACTTTTATGACTTGCTGTTGGTAAAGTTAAACATTTTGGTATAAAGGCTATCACTGAGTTTTTAATAAATTCTAAAACACTATTATTTCTAAATAAAATAAGTCTATACATTTACTATAAAATGCATATTTTCACAGACTAGAAATTAATGAAACATCTGAATATCATTCACTTCTCTTTGGAATTTGAAATTCTCTTCACCTTCAACATTTAAATTACAACTACTAAAATCCATCTACATATTTTTGATACAGTTTATTGCCCAATTCTTATTTTAAAACCTAATTTATTTTTTCATATTCCTTCCTTATATACATTCCTTTGGGCCTGTCGGCTGAAAGACAATCTTTTTACATACTTAAGAGTATCAGCTAGCTTACAAAAAGTCTTTACAACGGTGATTCTTTTCACAGTAGTTCAAGAGTTCAAGGCATGTTTTGCAATGTCAAACTGCAATGGTTTTGACATTTGTAATATGTTCTTAGGTATAAGAAGAGTCACGCTACCAAAAGAAAAGTATAATTAGTATTAGTACTTTGAAAGTCAATCCAAAATTCCTTTTTTGAGATCTGAATCTAATTTTCTGTTTTTAGGACATTTAAAAACCTGAAACACAGATCAAGTTTGAATAATCTTCTCCAGTCTAGAATTAGAAGAGTACATGAGCATGACACTAGTCATTGCAGAAATGAACTAGAATTTAATATTTTGGCTCAGATACTCTTATTTTGTATAAAGAGGAAAAAAAGGGCTGGGTCTTCAAAAATAGTTGCTATTATTTAGCCTATGGAAGAAATAGAAATATTAGTAAATTTCATTCTATGCTTGCATTTCCTAGACAAAATTTAGGCACACAATCCTCTCTTTACAGGCAAAGTCAGTAATTAGCTCCATGCATAGAATGAAAACTGTGTGTAAGATGTCAAAATTAGGGTCCATGTGCCTTGCTGCAGATTGTCTGGGTTGAAAAATTAAACCAACACAATAAACATACAATTTCTTTTCTCTCAGGAATGCCAGGATGAAAAGATAAAGTATTATTTCTTCTAAGTTCTATGTTCAATTTGCAGACGTCGAGAATTATTTTGGCTTTTTAATTCTCATTTTCTGAAGATGTATAAGCCAGACCATTCTTTAAACATATATAAGCCAATAAGATGCTTTTCTGTAAAATATAAAATTATGTCTGGGAGCCAATTGCAGTTGGATTTTAGCCCCTATCTGCCCCTCAGCTGGGAAGATTTGTATAGAGCACAACAGGCCCGACTGGATGTGATGGCAGTGGGTATAAGGGTAATCCCATAAAGCACTCAGATTCTCAGTGGCCCTATTAAAATTCAGATTAATGTAACCCACAGTAAACTCTTGCAGTTAAAACTGTTAGGTCTGGAGAGAAAAATTTCTTTTAGGATAACCTGGACCAATGATCAGGAAATACAGTTACATCTGAAAATATTGAAATCTAGGATGAAATAGAGCTCTTCTCTCAAATGTATTCATCTACAACTGAAAGAGAAAAGTATGCTGGCAGTTCTATTATTGTTAGGGGAATTTTAAAATAGAGATTTTTACCTAATTTTGCTGTAGTATTATATTCCAAACTAATAGCATAATGGCTTAGTTTTAAGAGATGTCAAAAGCAAAACAAAGCAATGGTATGGAACAGCAGAAATAAATTTAGCAACCACATTATGGGGCATATATTTCAAATTGTCTTTCCCAGTCACTATTTCTCAAGTGGGATTTAGCATTAAAGCAAAAGTAGACATTCTTTATATGTTAGCTAAAAGCTAGAATACAATTAACAGCTAGTCTTTTTAGGTTTTGGAAAAAAAAAATCATCTCTGCCATTAACAAATACTCTATAGTGCCAAATGAAGGATTACTGGAGAAGTTACGAGGTGAAACCTCTTATACATCAGTGGGGAACTTAAAATCTTGTTAAGAAGTTCATTGTGTAGCAGTTTGGACAGATTAAAAGATAACTAAAGAATTATAGGAATTATAGAGTGACTTGGGATTGATGAGATCTGCCAAACATTTTTTAATGCACTAAAAGAAGATGAATGCCAAAGACAAACTAATGAGAAACTGACAGGGGAAAAAAAAGAGAAAGAGAGAAAAGTCAGATAATATACCACTGGACATAGTCCCAAATTCAGCTATTAAATCACCTTTCACCCCCATTCCAAAGTACAAAGAGAAAGAACAATCCTTACAGAAAGGGTGGGGGATGTCAGGAAGCTTCTGTAATTATTAATGGCACTAAGAAATTCTATACTCTCACTGTCCCTAAATTTTATCCATTAATTTTATCAGCACCCCAGTGGTTGCCTACTTAGCTTGACAACCATTCTACAACTCTCTCTTTGCCTAGTTTAGTTTTTCTCACGGACCCCACCCTGAGTGAGTAAATTATTTTAGTAGAAACACAAGAAGTGGGATTTTATCATCATCATTGAATGGCACATTACATTAGTGTGCATTCAAGGTAGATTTAGATGCATGCAAATTAATTTTTAATCAGTAAAAGTTGGGGATATGGCAAGGAACAGTGCTGGGTGTCACCACCTGGCTTTCATGAGAGTTCTGCTAATAACTAGTAGTCATTTAATCTCTGATCCTTGGTCTCGTCATCGAAACAAAACTGGAATCAAGTTATATAATCTCTGAGAGTACTAAGGGATTCTCTTTCATTAGAAGGCTAAATTCCAGATGGTTAAGTTAAATAATAGTTATTTTTTTAATTAGAAACTAATGATAATGTTGAAAGATAGTGAGGGAATATTAAGAAAAAAAGTGAGAAAAATAATGAATATAAAGCAAGGCTAGATGGAAAAAAGAAAGTCAAATATCTATATATTTTCATTAAAATGTTTTGAAAAATGCCCATATTATAAAAATTCTACTTAATATTAACGTTTTTTAAAAACTTATATTCCAATTGACTTGTTATTTAGAAGCAGCTCTCAAGATAAAACAATTACTGTTTTCACTAAAATAGCAGAAAAACTCCATGTAGGTATTAGCACGCAGAGCTAGAACTAAGCATTGTCAAACAGAAATGGTATGTTTCACAAAAGATGCTTAAAATATCTTCGAAAACCACAATGGTGCCATTTTAAGATACTAATACTAAACATTCCTAAGTAGCTTGTAATGATGTGTTTGTGAATTTATTTAAAGGAATGATTATTGAAGACATCAACTGCCAGCTTTTATTCATTTGGTACTGTTATTTTCTTAATTTTCCAGTGGGAAACAAAATTTCTATATTTTAAATACATTTATTTAGCCAAATACACTCTCATACTTATTTCAATCAAAGACTATGCCCTAACAAGCAATTTTAAGTTGTTTACTCAAACTTTGTATAATGGCAAACATCAACTCCCTGTTTTCAGATGATTTGCTAAGCAGGTTCCCTGGTACTTTTGCGCAGACTCAAAGATAACCCTGAGTTTTCTCTGCCCCAATGAGTCACAAGGTGGCAAAATTCCAGGAAAATAGAAGTAGTTTTGTTTTATTTTATTAATAATTCTACAATAGTAGCTGTAATAAAATAATAAATTACTGTGGAACTTCTAACCTAATGAATCTATTGTAGATTTTCATTTTTAAATAAAAGCTAATTTTAATTTTTTCAGATACTGCAACCAGGTTACTATTTTCATACAATCATGGAAATTTAAAATGCAAAGTTAATTGAAAGTATAAAGATGAAAAGCAAGTGCTATGCCTAAAATAGTGCACGACAGTCATGTTTCACTTAACTCTCAAGTCAGAACATAAATTAAGAATTCTAGATGTGACATGCCAAATATTTTAGACATAGAAGAAAGCATACAACAGAATCTGTACCAATTACAAACTTAAAGGCAAAATTTACAAGGCAACAAGTTCATGCTGAAATACTGACAACAAATAATGTTTCTCTTATTTTCAGAAAGTGATGCTGCATTTAAATCCCATCACCACTTTATACAGTACTAAAAATTCATAATAGCGTTTTCCCAAGTCTTGTATTATACCCCAAAGCCAAAATATCTGTAAGGAGTAAAGAACACTGATACTCTGAACCTAACCTAAGAAGAGTTTTTTTTTTTTTTCTTGCTTATAACAAAATTTAAAAGAAATAAATATTACACAAAGGGACTCCATTAAAAACAATATAACATTTGACAGCATAAGTATATACAAGAAGCCTGCCTTATGCTCTAAACTTCATCATCCTATTTTTGTAACTGAGCATATTCTATATATAATCCTGTTAAGAGTAAAGAAAATATTATAACTTTTAACATTTTCCTTATCATTTTTGCTGCTCTATTCCCTTTCTTTAAAAATGTGTTTTGTAATTGAAATATAAGACTATTCAGCTAGGAGTCATAGTTAACCAACACAAGAACAAGAAAAATACCTCAAAATGTACTAACATACGGATTTCTTCAGAGTGAAAGTTGAACCAATAAAATATGAAATTATATTTAGACACCCTCAAATAAGCTACAAAACATAATGACAAGAAGAATGGAGATGTTAAAAAATCCTCTCTTAAAAATTCAATAAGCATATTTACCCAACATAAGTAAATAAAACAGGAAATATCATTCTTGTTTATTTGAGGCACGTACAACTATAGTAAATAAATAATTTCATTCTTATATATGCAGAACAACAATCTATGAGAAATTAGTAACAAGCATAAGCAAGATTACCCCTTCACATAGGCTCTTTTTAAAAAATCACTTCACATAGGCACTTTTAAAAACTGATGATATATTTAGATTGTCTGTAATATCCAAATAAAGCTACTTTCTAAACGCGTTGCAAATGAAAGCGATTTTCAGACCTATCCTAGAAACCCACTGTCATGCAGAACTCAAGACATCCCACTTCATATTTTATCTGTCAATTTATTTTCTTCCCCCACACACTCACATCCCTATTCACATTCCCAAATTAGACTTTAAAATCCCTGAGGGCAGGACCTATCTATCTTTGTATTCCCTCTTGTACCCGATATTGTGGCAAGCAAGATATGGGTACTCTATGATTATTTAATAAGTGGATGAGAGCATTAACAAGTATGGAAGGACACGCAAATTCCATAGCTGTCAGTGTTTTGCCTTCCTTATTTCAGCTCAGTAAAATGAAGATATATTCAGTAACATATTTTCATAGTGAAATGAAGCATAATCACTAAATTGTATTCTATGAGAAAATACAGAAGTATATCCTTCAGAACACTATTACCCAAGCTGTGCTTTGCTTTATGGAACAGTTAAATATGGGATAGTAAAAAGTTTCTCCTCCTCTTAATAAAAGGGTTCCACCACGATCAGGTAATCTGAGCAATCCAGTTTAAAAAAAAATTCAAGTAGCATTTCTTTACTGTTATTGGTTTTGTTTTTTTGTTTGTTTGTTTTTTGTTTTTACTGTTATCAATAGCATTTATTTCACTCTTCAAAATACATTATATGCTAACATGTACTATCACTTTCTAAGCAATATCAAAGAACACTTTGGTCTTGGATCATCGCAGCAGAAGAAAGTTCTATGGAATGGAGTTTGACAAAAGATGTTTTAGGAGAATAAAAGACATCATGTTAAATTTCCTTTATCAAAATAGCATTATAGATTTGAAGGGCATATTTAACGTCCCATTAAATATTCATTACTCTGTGTCCACAGAAAGTAGAATGAAGGCGGAACTATCATGAGCATTCTTCTGTACTCACTCGCTCATTGTGAAAGGGTAGAGGAATATGTATTTGCTGTTTCTCATACCCTCTGTAGGGTTTGGTTGTTACACTTCATTGAAGAGTTTTCTTAATTCTTCTCAATATATTCTCAAAATATTTCCTTCTTTCCTCTTCCTCTTCTGTCTTTTCTTTCTAAGTGTATATGTACAAAGGAAATAGGGACCTCTGAATTGTATCTTAAAGATATTTTCAGACAATGAATATTTATGTTTGATTAATCTTTGGAAGTGTTCAGAAAACATTAATACTCATTAACGAATGGGATAACCATGATATTTCTATGAGAAAAAAATGTCAACAGATATGGTTCTGAGATTTCATGCAGGTCCATCATGATTCTGCAAAATAATATGCCTTCTGCATGACTAAACCACAAATATCATAATAAAAGATATTGCATACGGAGAAAAGCACTATTCAAGGAAAAGTAGGAAGCTAGTTGACTCTACAGTGCTCATTATCACAAGATGTGGACCTAGTGCCAGTTCTGCCATTAGCTGTGTGACTTTGGGACATTTCTCAGCGTCTCAGGATATCAGGTATGTCTTTTGCAAAGGAAAGGAACAAGTTTAGTGGTTCAGCGACTGCTGCAGTAGTGGATTATGAAGGAGAACAGCAGAAGGGGAGACCAAGCACGTGGGACACCGATCTCACATCTTCCACTGAGCAGCTCCACTTTCACATGTTTGATATATTAAAATTTAGAGCAATATTTATTTTTAAAAAGTCCTGCTAACTTAAAAATGGGGAAACATAGATTGCATGACCTAAATTTCTATTTAAGATAGCATGGTCTAGTTCGCATGTTTAATTAATATGTTTTCGTCTCAGAAAAAAAAAAAAAGTTTTAACATCTTTTCCTGTTCACTCATGTGTTCTTGGTTCAAGTAAAATAAAAACTTAATGACTATATCATTTTTATAGAGCTTATTTTATACTTTTGTAATATATTTCTTTCTTATTAAATAAAAAGATGAGTGGAGGTGTTGCTTTCAAAATAAAATTAAACATAATAGAGAGATTGGATGAAGTCAACTCCTGCCCATGCTTAACTTTAGAGTTATCTTTTCACGCGGCCTTATGGGCACTTAAATACTGTACTGTCTTATCTTTGAGGTAGAACAAAAAAAATGGCAAAAACATTCACATAAAGGGGAAAATGGAAAAGAAAGCTGTGAGAGATTTCTTTTTAACATAATTATCATCATTAGGCTTTGCAGTCTTCTTTGACACAAAGTTGAGATATAGTCTTCTTAATACGAAGAGCAGTTAGGCGGGCCGCTCCGTTGGCATACCAACACTCACGCATTATTCTTCCCATGACTCGGAGTGCCTTTAAGAGAGAAAAAAATATCAAAGACTTTAGCTACTCACGTAAAACAGAGCACAAAAGAAGTAAAGCCATAAACCCAGGAATTGATGCCAAGTTTCTTTATTTTTTTTAAGAGATGGGGTCTTGCTATGCTCCCCAGGCTGGAGTGCAATGGCTATTCATAGGTGCAAGCATAGCACGCTACAGCCTCAAACTCTTGTGCTCAAGCGATACTCCTGCTTAATCTTCCAAGTAGCTGGGACACAGGCATGCACCACTGTATCTTCCATTGATGCTAACTAAGCTTTGATGAAGAAATAGTAAATGCAAAACAATATGAGAAGAAGATTAGGGTCAAACTCCTTCAAAAATTATATCAAAACTCAAATATTAACCTTGTAGAGACTAACTAAAAAATGTTTCAATCCACTGATTTCTGGGAATATGGGACGTGAAAAACATCAAGGGATATGGGAAGGCTTGGAAATTCCCTGTATCTTGATGTTGGTGATGAGTACACAAATGTAGACATATGAAAAAAATTCATCAATCTGTGTAAGATTTGTGAGTTTTACCAAATGTAAATTATACTACAATAAAAATTATGATCCAAGTATAAATATCAGAAATTCTGGACTTTAAAAATGAACTAGCAAAGAGATAAGATAAATACTAAGAGGGGAAAACAATGAAAATGCATGAAACCAGAGAAATAAAGGAAACTGCTGAAGCAAGTGGCTGCTGTAGGGGTATCTGCTACTCTCATGGTCTAGAACTTCAGAACTGGTGGATCGCATGTAATAGAGAGTACAGCCCACAGCACACAGAAAGTTTCAGATCAAGATGCCGGCCAGGCAGTGTCTCATGCCTGTAATTCCAGCACTTTGGTAGGCTGAGGTAAGAGAATTGCTTAAGCCCAGAAGTTCAAGACCAACCTGGGTAACACAGGGAGACCCTCTCTCTACAAAAAATTTAAAAACTTAGCCAGGTGTGGTGGTCCCAGCTCTGCAGGAGGCTGAGGTGAGAGCATTGCTTGGGCCCGGAAATTCAAGGCTGCAGTGCGCCATGATCACACCACTGCACTCTAGCCTGGGTGACAGTGCAAGACTCTGTCTCAAAAAAAAAAAGATGCTTAGAAAGCCCTCAATTTAAGGATGACTACTTCCCTGAAACCCTCTAAGGGAAGTTGCCTAAGTCTTGGCTCTTGGTGAAGAAAAAAACAATCAAGCCCATGCCTTTAAATATTGCAGTAAACCTCAGCTCATAATGAAAATTCACAAATACATGAGGAAAAAAGGTACCATAAGCAAGAGTCCGTTGTAAATAGTAGTTTTGGCCCATAAAAACATTAGATGCTAGAACTAAATGATATAAGTATATAAAATATGTTTTTAAAAGGAAAGAGAAATACAAAATATGAGTAAAAAATGACAATATTTTAAAATGTGAAAAAGTACCAATAAAACATCTTGATATCAAAAATATAACAATTGGCCAGGTGTGGTGGCTCACGCCTGTAATCCCAACACTTTGAGAGGCTGAGGCGGGTGGATCACCTGAAGTCATGAGTTCGAGACCAGTCTGGCCAATGTGGTGGCACGTGCCTGTAATGCCAGCTACTCCAGAGGCTGAGGGAGGAGAATCATTTGAACTCGGGAGGCGGAGGTAGCAGTAAGCTGAGATCATGCCACTGTACTCCAGCCTGGGCGACAGAGCAAGATTCTGTCTCAAAAAAATAAATAAATAAAGTAGAAAACTCAATGGATGAATTAAATAGCAAATTAGACATATCTGAAGGCAGAATGAAAGAACTGAAAAATAAATCTTGAGAGATACATACCATAATGACACAAATACAGAAAATATGAGTTAATTTAAAAAGCAAATTATAATGAAGGGTCTAACATGCATCTAATGAGTTCTCCAAAACTGAGTAATAGAAATAATCAGAGAAATAACTATTTGAAGAAATATGACTCCAAATTTTCCAGAACTGAGGAAAGTCACAAACCACTAGAATAAGATAGTCCAAATATTCCAAGCAAGATTAACCAAGAGATATCTATACTGAAGACATCATAGAGAAACTGCAGAATGCTGAAGACAGAGAAGTTCTTTAAAGTAGTCATAAAGAAAAGCTAAATTAACTAAAAATTTATTGATTGATTATTGCTGACTTCTCAATAGCAAACTGGAAAATAGGTAATAGTGGGATAATAACTTTAAGGTGTTTAGAGAAAATAACTGTCAACCTAAATTTCTATGGTTAGACAAACTATTTGTTCAAGACTGAGGACAAAATAAAGACATTTTGGATACGCCCAAACTGAAAAATCTTACAACCACTAGGCCTTCTCTAAAAAAACAAAATAAAATACTTTTAAAGGATTCATGTCAGGAAGTCAGAAAATGATTTGAGAGGTAAAAGAAATGCTAAGCAAAGAAAATGGTAAACATGTGAATAAGTCTAAATAATGATGGCATAAAAAGAGGCCAATATCTATTATATGAGATTGACATAAAACAAGACAGAAACAAAGTACTGGACAAAAATTGCATATATCAGGAATGTACAAAATTGATCACACTAAAATGACTATGTTGGGTCTATTCCAAGAATGTTTTGGTTTAACACTGGAAAATCTATAAATGTAAGTCATTGCATTAAAAAACTAAAGCAGAATGCTATATCATCACCTCACAGATATAGCATATGCTTCCATTATATGGAATACTACACAGCAATGAAAATGGACAGATCATAGCTACACATATATAATGGAGAGTGAAAACATTTTGAAAATAATATCTACAGTAAGTTTCTATCACATAAGTTTCACAAATATGCAAAAGTAAACAACATATTGTTATTCAGGATGTATGTATATATTCTGAAAAAATATACATATAGTAAAATTCTAAAGCAAAGCAAGAAAATAGTAAAGAAATAATTGATTATAATACTAACCTCTCAGAGGGGTAAGGAATCTTCAAAGGTATTGAAAATGTTCTATTTTTCAAACCTGGTAGTGGATTCACTAGTTTTCATTCTATTATACTTTAAACATATATGTTTATATTGTTTCATGTACATAAATTATTATTAGAAAATTTTAAATTTAATTTCAATTGAATTATAAATGCTTCAAAATTTGCTTCTCAAGTATGTAGGTAAGACATCTACACAAAATATAAAACTAACAAAACACAAATCTTGTGTTTTAAATTAGAAATTAGAAAAAGGGTTGAGAAACATGATTAAATTAGAAAAGGGTTGAGAAACAGGTAGGAACAGAAAAATGAGACAAAAAGGCAACTATAGAAAATGTTCCCTAAAACAAAACCAGACTAAAAGACACCACCTAAAAAAGACCTCATTCATTACATTAAAATATGGCAAAAAATAGACAGCAATAACTGAAATGAGAGACATTAAAGTATCAGAATGGTTCTGAAACTAGTTAGATGGTTTAGACTCTTTTTCCCACCTTCTACTCCTCTTTTTCCTTGTAAGAGCTAGAAAAAAATCTCTACCTTCACATAAGGCATAACAAGTATTGCAATAACCATTTACTGTTTGTCTAGTACATTACGGTTAAGTACTGGTTTGCTGGAGATGATGAGATAAATAACAATGGTCTCTGATGTGAGGGAGCTTTTCTAATGAGAGAATAAGTTCAAACTTCAGCAGGTTAGAGATGAGGTATAACTTATTGAATATAAAGATGATTGGATTGTAATATTCTGTGTGGCAGAGACATTAACTGCCCACTGAGTCTACCTGTGTTCCCTGCAGTTCCTAGCACCACTGCAGTTTGGGGGGACCATGTGACAAATTCTGGTAGGAGCCATGAGTGGAAGAGATGTGTGTCACCTGATGCCAAAGCATTAAAGAGCCAGTGTGTGATCCTCTAGCTCCTCTCTTCACCTGACCTAGAGATCTGGAAACTACGTGTCCAAGGATCAAAATCAGAGTGATTACTGAGTCACTGCAGTGAGAACAGGTGCCATGGGGAGTTGTCTAACCTGCAGAGCAGTTTCTGTAAGCAAGAAATAAAGTGAAAAGTCACTGAGATTTCAAGATTTGTTACTGTCACATAACCTAGCATTATGCATGCATAGCACTAAAGGGAAAAAAAAACTCTTCTGAAGACTTATAAAAAGACATATGTCTACATATATGGAATGAATTGGATGCTTACATTAAAAAGGAAAAACTATACGGTCTCTGAAAATTCTCCCTGATACTCACCTCAAAAATATAATAAGAAAAATATAGATAAAAACATAGCCTTACTTCACAACTTTGCCACTGGTTTGGGATACTTGGTCGAAACTTCTGGTCACAAACAACCTTTCTCATTTCCTCTATCGAGGGATCTGAAGGCACCATGTCATAATAAGGCAATTGGTACTCCTCAACAATTCCTGTAAGAAATTTGCATAATAAATTTCCATGTGCAAATAACAAACAAAGATGTCTATTTCAAATAATACCAATTAAGTTTTCTAGGCACAAGTGACACCCCAGGGCACTGAAAGCCAAGTTTATTAAAATAATGTGTCACTATAAAATCAAGGATATAAATTTAAATCACCCAGTTGAATAAAGTTATAAAATGTTATAAATTTTTTCATAACTGTAAAATGTATACAAGATTATATAAAATTACAATATATAAAACATAATTTTATAATTATATAATATATAAAATTTCTATTTTATAATTATATAAAATAAATTTTATATTTTTCTATTATTAAAATTATGTAAATTTTTATTCAATTAAAATGCCATTATACAATTTAAAAGTAATGCCTTTCTTTTGATTATGAAATTTGTAGCACAGCTTCATTGCTTTGTGAATGAAGTGCATATATTTTCCCATCAGATAACTTTTCCAAAACAAAACAGCTTTCTCTCTTTGAAAACTTTTAGGCAATCTTTTTAACGTTGGGTTTCTTACATTTAGACTTCAGAACTACTGAACCTGAGAACGTTCTGGAGAAGAAGCCAAAGGTAGTTGAAGATAGACCGTTCAACATGAAGGTTAATATTTAAAGAGTCTCAAAGACAAAGACAAAGATGACCTTAATTATTAGAATACTACTTAAATTCCAAGAAATCCCTTATAAAATCTTTTTAATTAACTGCAGTGCTTTTAAGTTAAAATATGTGAGACATGCTATAATACTAGACAACTAACTATAATTCACGTCTGCTAAATTACTATTTTTACAGTTGAAGAAAAGTTAAGGACAAAATCTAAAAGCAACTCTAGACTAATATCAATATGAAATTTTTACAAAAAATTATTAACATGTTTGAAATCTTGCTATTTGCCATGAATTGCCCTAATGCCTTTACAGGTTTTAACTAATCAGTCCTCAAAACTACTGACTAAACAAGGTACAGTATTATTTGTTTTATAGACGAGGAAACTGAGGCACAGAATGTTATGAATTTGTTCAGAGACATAGAGCTACTAAGTGGCAAATCTGTAATTCAAACACTAGTGTCCACTAGGGTTTTATAATGTTTTATAATATCATCTATGAATAAAAGAGAAAAAGTATATATGTTTGCTCATTCAGACATAGTTTTAACCTTAGAAGCTTTTCATAAAATCTGCAAGGTTTTTTAAAAAATGAGATTAATGTAATGCAAAATGACATCAATACAAAGTGCAAAAATATGACAATAGTTTAATAATGACAGCTCTTTAATCGAATGTTTACTGTGAACAGGCTCTGTACTAAAAGCTTCACATGAATTAATTCATTAAATCCTTAAAGCCCAAGGGATCAGTTTTTGCATTATCTTCATTTTACAGATGAGGAAATTACTACTAAGTAACTTGCCTGAAGTCGGACATTCAAGGAATTGCTAACCCATTGCTTAGTCCTAAGTCTGTCTCACTTGAAAGTGGAAACTCTAACCATTTTCTACCAGCATTTAACTTTTTCTCTACTGATGCAAAAATTTCATCAGATGTATTTACAGGGCTTCCCCCTCCCTAATTCTTTCTCTTATTATTAAGCACCTTTTTTTTTTTTTTGAGATAGAGTTTTGCTCTTGTTGCCCAGGCTGGAGTGCAATGGTGCGATCTCAGCTCATGAGCCCCCACGCCTGGCTAATTTTGTATTTTCAGTAGAGACGGGGTTTCTCCATGTTGATCAGGTTGGTCTCAAACTCCTGACCTCAGTGATCCACCCGCCTTGGCCTCCCAAAGTGTTGGGATTACAGGCATGAGTCACCATGCCCAGGTGCATTATTAAGTTCTAAACTGCTGGGAGCAGGAAAGGTAGGAAGTTTGTCTTTGTTCCCCTCTTCCTACACCTTTATCCAACCCCACAACATTTATCATATCACAGGGAAGAAAAAAACAAAAACAAGAAAAGCTTAAGAAACTGAACCCTTCAAGTCTTGTTGCCTCTGCAAATCATTTAACTTCTTTGGGATATAAGTTAGGAATACCAGCTTATGGCTTACAAACTCAAATAATTTTCAAGTACTTCATAAAGTGTCATACGGAAATAAAAATTATCAGGAGAACTGTCACCCCACTAAGCAGTAATCACAATATAAAATCTCCATTACATGCAAGATATCCCACTTTTGCCACTGGAAATATATCACCAAAAGGTATTCTCTTAAATACTAAAAAACTGATTCAATATAGTGCTTGGGGAAAAAAGATAGAATATCACATCTTGTATTCAGAGTATCAAGGAAAGGCAAACACAAAGGATATTTCCAAAATTTTACCTCCGACCGAACACCTCCGGGCTATTTCCCAGTAAACCAGACCAACAGAATAGATGTCAGCTCGTTTGAAGGACTCAAAGATATTCACATTCATTGTATCATCAAGCATTTCAGGAGCCATATACCTTCAAAAACATGCACACTTCAGATTCTGTGTATGACTTTATAGCACTCCAGTAAAACAATCTTAATAAATTAGGATAGCTTATGCCATTTTAAAAGGCAGATTTGAGGCATGAATAAAATTAAAGAATACATCATTGACTCAACCATCAAGTGTGCTCAGCAGCACTCCACCAATACTTTCTCTCAGTGAACAATTTTGTTATACAAAAAATATAGCCATGTTTGAACAAGAGTCAGTGTAAGAAATCTACAGTCCATGGACCTGACCGAGCCTCACTGTACTAGGGAGATTTTGGAGATTTCCCAGAATACTGAAGTGAGGATGCAACACCCTCCCAAGTTCTTGCAAGGGTGTTAGATCCTCTGAAGGAATCCAGCATCCAAGGCTTCCCTGAAGGTTCCTGATGTGGGGATAATCAGACGGGTGAGCTAAGGCTTTTCTTGCACAGGGAAAAGAAGTCCCTTAGGGCTACCCAGTGTGAATAAACTGCCCAGAAGTGCTCCTGGGGTCTCATTAAAGTCTCCCAGTGAATCATGAGAGGCATTCACAGGCACTGTCCTGGGAATCTCAAATATGGCTTGAAGGCCAGCTATAGCAGCTTAGAATTTCTGTACTCTCAAGGGCCTTTAACAACTCCAAAAAAATATTTTGGTTGTTTCTAATTTCAAGGTCAAGAACTCTGGAATTTTGCCAAAGTAATATAGAGCCTGAAATTCAAGTAAAAAGAATTGGAAGTAGGCTGGCCATATGGCCAAAGGCTGGCTATAACAAGAAAAACACCAGAAATCCCATTCCTAATGGGCCTGACCTGACACATGTGTGGTATATGTTGTTACTTCACACTCATTCTTAATCTTCAGGTTCTGTTCCTTGAAAGTGGGAACTGTATCCAAACTCATATTATCTTAATACATATCAATTTGGGAGACTTAATGATAAGTAAAAGTATAGGTAATACATAAATTGTGATTTAAAGAATAAGGCAATATAGTAGCACATAAGTGTATTCAGCATATAGAATCCCTACCTATCTATTTCAACATATTGATTCTGTGTCTGTTGTGTAGAACCTGAATATGTAGAACTAGTCCTGAGTTTCAGTTCATTTATGGGACATAAAGGCTTTGGAGGAGCTACATACTGCTGACGTTTTTTTTCTTATCTGTAGGAAAATGCATTCTCAGAAGATGGCACACTAAAAATAATACATCACTATCTCTTCTGCCGTTTCTCTCCACTGGACTCTGTAGCTAAATGGCTGCAATCCATGTGGCCCAAAATGCCAGCTCTCCTTGCTTTATAACCATTATGCCCACTAACTTCTCAGTGACCCAGAGAAGACTTCCGGATTTCTTGGGCCCAGTGGTTTCCCATTTGGACCTGAGCCTCCTCCACACATATGAGGACATTCATGCTTATTGGGCACTCTCACATCTTACTATGCTACCCAAGTCAGTCATCTTACCTCTTCGTTCCCACTTTAGGATTCTGAGGTATGTCGATAGTGTTCAGTATTGAATCATGCTTCACAGCCAACCCTAAGTCCGCTATGGCACAAGTTTCACATTTTTTCACTAAGATATTCTTTGATTTTATGTCTCGATGAGCAATAGCAGGTTTACCTATGAAGCATAAGAAGAACATATTCATTTTTTCTTTACCGAAGACTGTTCAAGAGAAATCATCCTGAAGACTTAGCTCTAAATGAGCTAATTCAAAAAGAGTGTTCTTCAAAGCTCCTGTCACTATCTAAATTATCTTGTTTATTTATGTACCTGCTGAATCATCTGTCTCTCCCAAGTAAACTGTAAACTGAATAAGGACAGTTACTATTTTGTTCAACAACATTCCTCTATTGCTTAGAGCACTAGATGACTAGATCAATAATAAACATTTTTTAATAGATGAAGAAAGAATTAGTACTGCTATGTTCTCATAAGAGCACAGCAAATATTGTTTTACAAAATAAGTCTGAAAACTTCTATTACCCCACACCAGCAGTTCTCAGTTGTGGCCAAAAGATCCCCAAGGTCCTTGCAACTCTTTTCTAACTATGCATCTGTGTGACACTACCTTTTCTTCACGTATTTCAACCAAAACAACATGTGAGAACAGACGGAATGAAGAACAGGTATGAAAATCCAGACATTAAAACAGACATTAAAGGGATTTGCAACAATGTAAAACAAAACCAATATTTTCATTTGATCAGTTTTTGTATTAGAAAAAAATGTTGTTATATTTAAAATGTTATTTATGTTAACATTTAATTGGTTATTATTTTAAGCAAATTAATAAGTACTTTTAAATTCCTCAATTTTAATTTCTAATATTGTAAACGGTAGCAGATACAAGTTACATACACAAAAACCTTTGTAGTCCTCAATAATTTTAAGAGTGTAAAGAGATCATGAGTTCAAATGTGAGAACCACTGCCCTGTCTAGACTAATTGACTCTCTAGAGTCAACCTCTTAACTCAATAAATAGAAATGGCAGTAGGTACTATTTGGCTTCAAGTACATGATATACAATTTTTTTTTCAAAACCACATTATACTTTCCAATTACTTTTTTAATTATCAAAAGTAAACATTTAAATTATTTGTATTCTGTGAATATAGGACATTTGCCACTAAAGCAAGATCTCTGGGTACATATGCTAAATGGCAAAGATAGAACCACTAGGAATAATTTTTTTTAAATATTATTATGGATAAGATACAAAATAGTGAGTATATTGATGAGAGTTGGCCACATATCCTGGGAACAACCCTTAACCTTAAAAATTACCTTTACGTGCTTTTCTTACCTCTCTTTTTGTTTTGTTTTTTTTTTTTTTGAGATAGTGTCGCTCTGTCACCCAAACCAGAGGCAGTGGTCGCAATCGTACACACACTGGGCAGCCGCCCTGGGGTGACTCTCCCACCTCGCTCCCAAGTGCCTGAATAAAGGCACATGCAACCCCACAAACGAACTTTTTTTTTATTTTATTTGTTGCGTAGAGATTGGAATCCTCAACTATGTGCCCCAGGCTGGTCCCCAAATTCCTGGCCCTCCGCAAGTGATTGCCTCTTCCACGTAGACCTGACCTAAAATGCTGGATATGGGTGTAAGCCACCCGTCAGCCAGCCTAAAGAATAATAATTCTTTCTAATAAACACTTCCGAAATATAAACTAAGTACTTTATCCTCACTATTCAAAGGGAAACAATGAAAAGAAGTACATACCTTGTGCCCAACATTCACATAGAACGGGGTCCAAGACCCACCAAGCATGAGAAGCGCCAGCCTGGATCAATCCCAGCCACCGTCACTATATTTTATTCAAGATAGTCATATAAGGACCCGGTTCCTCGATAGCCAGATACCCAGCCAACAGTGAGTCCAGGTTCCATTATCTAACAAAGAAATAATTTGCGTGCTTAATACATATTGCAGAAGAAGCCAAAACGCTTTGCAAAATCACGTGGTTAATTCACGTCGTTTAATCTGTAGTCACCGTTAACAACAGCACACAGCTTAACTGCTGATAGTGGTAATGGCTTAATCCCCAAAGCATAAAGAAACAAATTCTCAATGCAATCACTGCAGCAACGTGATATGCGAACCGATAAAAATAGAAAGTTGTGAGGTGGATTGATCATCACCACCTGAATAACGCCATTCTCAATCTTCCACGTCTCCATACTTCAATACGGCTAGCCAATAGTAACCATTATAGGAGAATCACTGGAGAGATGCATTTAAGGCCTCAGTTGTCCTGTGTTATCAAATTATCCTGAGCTTTTAAGAACAAACTTGCTAACCATAAGACAGCCACATAATAAACAGTGTACGCAAAGTACCCTGACCATTTACTCCATCCAACACACCTCCAAAAATGTGATCGTCCCCCTGCACCCCTCTCCAAACACTAAGCCATCTCTTACCAACACTAACACCACGACAAACACAATTACCAACATTTCCAATCAAGTACCTCCATTTCGCCAACACCGTAATCCACTTATAAGTTAGGAAAGCCAAATCACCCTAAACTTTTCACATAACATACGTTACGCAGAGGTGCGAGGCCCTCCTTCCGTTTTTTGAAATAAATCCGCTCTACCAGTGCAACCCTGGGCGCGCCCACGCGGCGCGCCGACGCGCGACGCTTTCAACACTCCCAGGCGAGTCCATCGCACATTTCTAGAGCTATTCTGGCCCAACATGCGTAGTCACTCTTGTGGGTATCCGCGCGTGTCCACTCGTGCGGTCACGTGAAAAAACTCTCTCCACGAATTTAAAATCCACATAACACGGTAAAGCTCATTAACATACCAACATATAAAAATAATCCTACTCACACCTCTCTCCCTGATTGACACCAGTGGGCTATCTTGCCCTCTAACATCAATGCTTTTGTCGAAAGTTGACTAAAGAGTAAACTGTAAATGTTGCAAAAGGTAAAGGAATTAAAAATCAAAGTGAAGTTAGAGATCATTTGGAATCATGCAAAAAGCCACTGACAAGTTAGGAGATGATAGAGGGAGACCAGTTAAACTAGGAGAAAACCAAGATAATATCTCTAGATGCATATTAGTTATTTAATTTTTATGTATTCCATTTTTTGAGACAATATTGTCACTCCTGTCACTCAGCCTGGAGTCCAGTGGTGCAATTTCGGCTCACTGCAACCTCTGCCTCCCGGGTTCAAGCAATTCTCCTGCCCCCCGCCTCCTGAGTAGCTGGGATTACAGGCATCTGCCACCAAGCCCAGCAATTTTTTTTTTTTTTTTTTTTTGTATGTTTAGTAGAACGGGAGTTCACCATGTTGGCCAGGCCTAATCTTGAACTCCTGACCTCAGGTGATCCGCCCACCTTGGCCTCCCAAAGTGATGGGATTACAGGTGTGAGCCACCATGCCTGGCCAATGCATATTATTTTATAATCCGATAAACATCATGATTAAACTAGCCCATGAAGATGATCCATGTACAGTCATAACTGCTTTGACAGAGTTGCTGCTTAATCCAACCAGCAGGCAGTTCAGCTCAAGATTAGGAGGGAAAAGAAAACATTCTTAACAGCTAAATGAGAAATGTCTCCTCAATGATCTGGATACAGTTTCAAAGTATATGTAGTTACAAATCTGGAAAGAACTTTTTTTGTTAGCCGTCTTGCCTTTACCCCATTTCTCCTTAGCAAATCAGAAATGGCAAATCATCAACAAACATAATTATGGCCAAAATGTATGCTAAATGCTAAGCCTCTCTTTTTCCATCCAAGTAATAATGAATACTTTTATGATTAAGTTTATATTAGATAACATTGACTATAGGTTCTGAATTTTCACAGGCAATGGTGGATCCTTGACATTCATAGATAATTTGTCTTAACCCTTTTTTAGACTGGGGTTACAACCTCGACTCTACCAAAGTTCTTCCTGAGTATTACTCACCAGAGTTAAGGTTTAAAAGCCGACTGAATCAAGTTTTCCTCACTTTTGTTACCTATTGGGGCACTAATGAGCAGTTAAATAACAATTGTGTAAAAAAGAAGAGTAAAAGCATAGATAATCAATGAATTTTATATCCAATCTGTGATTATACAAGCGTAGGTATTTTAAATATCAGAAAGCTGATGCTCTGACTTGCTTCATGAAACTCAAAAAATAACAAACACTACATGGCACCGTTAATGGTGGTCTCAAGACACAAATTGTGCACAAAGTAACGTTCACAGAAAAGTTCACTAAAAGTGTCTTGCTTGCCACCATTCCAATACAATCAAGAGAGAATATTTTCAGAAATTTTGAGTCTTGAAGATGAAGGCTGTTATACGGATGAAAAATACAGCCCTAACAAAGTTGAGCATTCAGCTAGTATTAATTGGTATGTCTGTATTGGTTATTAAAATATTGAAATATTTCTGTCCTGGTTGGTAAACAGCTGCTATTCAAAACTCCTGGGCTGGGCGCAGTGGCTCAAGCCTGCAAATCCAGCACTTTGGGAGGCCGAGGAGGGCGGATAACGAGGTCAGGAGTTCAAGACCAGACTGGCCAACATAGTGAAAACCCTGTCTCCACTAAAAATACAAAAATTAGCCAGGTGTGGTGGCAGGTGCCTGTAGTTCCAGCTACTTGGGACTACTTGGGAGGCTGAGGCAGGAGAATCGCTTGAACCCAGGAGGCGGAGGTTGCAGTGAGGTGAGATCGTGCCACTGCACTCCAGCCTGGGCAACATAGCGAGACTCTGTCTCAAAAAAACAAACAAAAACTCCCAATGATACTCCTTTGCCCTAGACATCCAGATGCCTCCATATCTCTTCATGACCAAGCAGCATCTAATGGGATAAAACCTAGCACGGCAGAGTTCTCCAGGATTCTGCTCCAGTTGAGGCTTCTGTTCTGATTAGTCGGTTCCTGCACCAAACAAGTCAGCAAACATTTTAAGCACCACCCTGGCTATCTGGACATCATGATTTCCTATCACTCATTTGCCCTGCTTCATTGTATGGTTACGTACATTTATCTGTGGGAAAGAGGAAAGGATTTTATACAAATTAGACTTTCATATAGACTTTATTAAAACAAAGAGATGAATTTAATTTCTTATCTGATACTAGACAACATTTTTTCACTTGTTGAACACAATTAGATTGGAAATACCTTTGTTGTCAGCAGCAATGAAACCAAGGATGTTTTCATGTCGCAGCATGACCGTCTGGTAAATTTCTGCCTCACGAAACCAAGATCTTTCATCTCTGGAGGAGAATATTTTCACAGCCACATCTTCCCCACACCATCTTCCATGCCACACCTCACCAAATCTACCTTTTCCTACTATTTCCTGAAGCACAATCGTCCTTGCAATTGTCCTTTGAACCAACAGAGGTAGACCTAACCAAAGAAAAGATGGAATTGATGATTAAACACAAATGCCAGAAAAGAACTCTCATAATAATTGCTGTTTTCAGATTTTAAAAAAGCAAATATTTAAGTGCTTTAATAATTTTGTCTATTTTGAAGGAATAAGTACCATTGTAGCAAACTTATTTAATGTCAAAGCATGCTGAAAAAAATACTTCAAATTATGAATATGAATTTGTCTTCTCGTATTCAAAGTAAAAATTTTTTGAACATAGCCTGCTGCTGCAGATATCTGATTTCCAAGAATTGCTGGAAATCTCCTTCATTTGCCCATCAAAGCCAGTCAGGTTACTAAGTACACAAGATAAAAAGCAAAAAAAAAAAGAAAAAAAAATGTGTTAGCCTCTAAAATAAAATGTATGGTTCCTGGTACAACTGGAAGTACAAAATAATTATTTGTGAATTTTTTCAAAACCAAGCTGAAATTGGAAAGTGAAGAATCAAATGCAATGATGATGTGAGACAATTATATTACACTAAAAGCAAGATACAGTCAAATAAGATATCAAATAAATATTTTCTGCGGAACAAAAAAAAAATTTCAAAGAAAATATATCCTGAATGCATGTATGATGCTTCTATTCTTTGAACTACTAACTCCACCTCTAGAATTCTGTCGCAAATACCTAATGCAAAATGTAGAAAAATTTATGTCAAGATGTTTAATATCTTATTATTATTTATAGGAAAAAAATAAGTAAAAGTGTCAGGTAATGGAATAATTGTGAAATAAAGTGCAGAGATTCAGAGCACAGGTGGGTTCAAATTTCAGCTCTGCCACCTGATAATCACGCACAAGTTATTTCACCTGTCTGTGCTTCAGCTTCTTCATCTGAAAAACTGGGGATAATCAACATTACCCATCCCATAGAGATGATTTGAGAATTAATAAGCATGTTCAGCACCTAGCACAGTATCTGGCCTATTACATGCTCAATAATGGTTAACATTATGTTAATCTTAGGATGGCTTACTCAGAGCCAATAATAATGATGATGCTTATGAAGAGATATTTAATAACATAAAAAAATTTTGCTATAATATTAAATAAAAACAGCATAGTACATTTTATTCTTATAAATATAAGTGTACCTAGCTATTCAAAATACGCACAGAAAATAAGACTCAAGAGGAAATATGCTAAATGTTAGGACGGTTATTTCTCTTGGTGAAACTGGGGTGAGTTATGATAGTCTTCTTTCTAATTTTCCACATTTTCTTTATTTCCACAATAGATATTTATTACTCTTAAAATCAAAGGAAAAAATAGTTAAAGAGGTTACAGTCTACATGTATTCTGAAAAGTCACATTCAGTTACTGTTTTTGTACTCAGCTAGGGAGCCCTCATAGCAATGACCCTGTCTTGCGAGGGCTTTGGTCCCTGCACCTAAAACGGGTCACTGTTCGTTCACATGTTCTCATATGAACATATAAGCACAGGCTAAATAAGCACAGACTACAAATCTGTTGTTACAGATCTCAACAATTAGTCACAAAACCCTACAGGCAGAAAGTTTTTTTGAAATCATCTGGTTCAACCCTATCATTTTAGAGATGGCAAAACTGAGGTCCCTCGATAATCAAAGTCTTTCCCAGGATTATGCTGCTAGTGAGAGGCAGACCTAGAATTAAAACAGGGATCTTCAGTGCAAACTCTTTCTCTCTAGAAGCAAACTATAAGGACTGTTTTTGTTTGTTTTTGTTTTTTGAGATGCAGTCTTGCTCTGTCAGGCTGGAGTGCAGCAGCATGATCTCAGCTCACTACTATCTCCACCTCCCAGGTTCAAGCAATTCTCCCACATCAGCCTCCTGAGTAGCTGGGATTACAGGTGTGCACCACTATGCCTGGCTAATTTTTGTATTTTTAGTACAGAAGAGGTTTCACCATATTGGCCAGGCTGGTCTCAAACTCCTGACCTCAAGTGATCCACCTACCTCGGCCTCCCAAAGTGCGGGGATTACAGGCGTGAGCCACCGCGCCCAGCCTGGACTGTTTTTGCAGACAACAATCAATTTTACTACTTGACCACACACTAAGTATTGTACTAACAATTATTACGTCAAATCTCAATCTCCGTCTCTCCCTTCCTCCTGCTACCCTATAGTCTTATCTGCATACACACACACATTCACAGAAACATCACTACCAACAACCAGCACTACCCAAAACACAACAAATGGATAGAGAGCTAGATAAGCTTATGCTTTCAAACAGAAAATTAATCAAGTACATAATCAGTGGTGCAGATCAGCAACAAAGTAAGACAACAACATATAAAGTACTCAAGACAGCAATTAAATTGAGACATTAAAACTCAATAAAACTTGCTTTGGTATCTTTCAAAGCAATCACCAAAATGAATCTAATTCTTCTGGTATGCACCTAGACATTTGATTTGAAGATACATGGATTTTTGCTTCTCCCTGTAGGTTCATTTCAATCTTTTAAGCAGGGGTTGTAGGTTAGCTTTCAATAATGTCACCATCAGTCAGAATTGTTATACTACAAGGGAAAAGCAGCAGCCTACCCAGTTTCTTGGAAGCCATCTGAGACACCATCCATCCTCATCAGTCCATTTTCCCCTCTTGCAGGCATTATATATGTCTTTGAAATTTGTCCCTGACCAGGTCAAGAATAAGCTTCCCAGTTTTTGTTCCTCAGCATCCGACAAAACTGTCTCACATGTAAAGTTATTGACCAATTAAGAAAAGCAGAGGGAAGCAGACTCCCCCTTCCTCCAATCCCCTCCCTACAGGTGAGTTTTTAGGACTGAGGTCTCACTGCAGATACACCCATTCTCTGATTATCATAGGCAGGGAGGCCTTCTGTTACTTTCAGCTGCTGGTCACTGCCAAACATATGCAACTGGCTTTGGGGGAAAAAAATGCCTAACGCTCTTTCAGATCGGTATTTAAAGAAATCATCCATGCTTGGGTACATTTACTACTTTTTATTTTTTTTTAAACGAGAGATCTTAGAATAATCTGAAAAGGAGAGAGTCCAGAATCAGTAATTCCAGATTTAGGTTTAAACATTAAAAAAACACCAGAAAATGTAATATTAATTTTTGATTTATGCCCAAGTCCATTACTACTTTCTCAAACTAAATCCCAATCTCTAGTATTAAAATCTGAATTACTTTCATTTGAAAGGAAAATCTTTGGTTATCTTAAATGTATTTAAGGAATAGCTCCAAAATACCTAACATCTTCAGATAAATTAAAATGTTTTTGGGGATGGGGATTAAGCAGAGAGTTATGTAACCTCTTGAACCTTATAAAGAAATCATATAAGATTTCAAGAAACTTGCCATAAATCAGAGGTCTTTGTGCCTAGAATGTTGTCAATATTCAAGAAATCAAGGCACAGTGGGCCTCAAAGTGTCAGAGTCAAATAAGGAAAGAGTATTGAATATCAAGTTTTAATTTTAAAGAAACATCTGTCTGATGCATTGGCTCACACCTGTAATCCCAGCACTTTGGGTGACCGAGGCAGGCAGATCACTTGAGTTCAGGAGTTTGAGATGAGCCTGGACAACATGGTGAAACCCCATCTCTACTAAAAATGCAAAAATTAGCCAGGTGTAGTGGGGCACACCTATAATCCTAGCTACTTGGGAGGCTGAGGTAAGAGAATCACTGGAACCCAGGAGGGAGACGTAGCAGTGAAGCAAGATAGGCATCCCACTGCACTCCAGCCATGTAAACAGTGAGAATCTGGAAAGAAAAGAGGAGGAGAGAGGAGGAGGGAGGAGGAGGGAAGAGAGGAGGAGGAAGTGAGGAGGAGAAGAAAGGAAGAGAAGGAAGGAAGGGAGGGAGGGAGGGAGGGAAGAAGGAAGGAAAGAGAGAGAGAGAGAAGAGAAGGAAGGAAGGGAGGGAGGAAGGGAGGGAGGAAGGAAGAGAGAGAGAGAGAAAGGAAGGAAGGAAGGAAGGAAGAAGGAAGGAAGGAACATGAGAGAGAGAGAGAGAATAATTTAATTTAATTTAATTTCCGGTTTTTAAAACTTTGCAGAGAGAGAGAGAGATTACCAGTATTCTTGCCTTGAAAGATGCTACCTAATGTGTAAGAGAGAGAGAGAGACATTTAGACTTTGTCAGTGGGGGGCCAGGTGATTTTGCCCCAGAGAGAGAGAGAGATCTGGGTTCGATTATGCTTTTCTTTTCTGATGAATACAAAGCTGCTTCACGCTAAATATGGATGCACATAGAGATGTTATCACCCCTCTGTCCCCTACCTCTGTTAATTGTGTCTGCGTGGATTTTCCTGAAAGCCATTGGCAAGGGAGTTCTTCAAAATGTTGGGCTACAATCTTAATGATCTTTCCAAAACAAGAGGAGATGCAGGGGCCTCTGAAGTGGTTCACCTAGGGTTACTCTTGTTCCTATTTCCGTAAACCATGAGAGAGAGAGAGAGAGAGATATATATATATAGAATCCCCTACCATTTTATGGAGTTTGAGAGAGAGAGAGAGATTGTCTTCCCACTAACCCCAACCTCCTGGAAAAAAAAAAAAAGAGAGAGAGAGAGAATGCTTTGTGTTGTGAGAGAGGCTCATTTAGGCTATAATACAGAGAGAGAGAGAGAATGCTTTACCTGGGGTTCTGGAGTTCCATTAAAGAGGAAGAGAGTTATTAATATACAACTGTAGCCAGCAAAAGCCAGCACAGGAATGCTGCACTGCTGTCTTTAATCTTCTGTTTCTTTGCTTTAAGAACATATTCTTGATTTAATTTCAGGAGAGAGAGAGAGAGACTTCACACATATCCCAGGGGGTGTCTATAGATTCTGAAAATCCTCATAACCACAAGCAAAAGTGCTCAAAGAACACTACTTTGTATAACCAACATCGTTCCCTCAGAACTCAACACCTTAAATACTACAACCCTAACTCTTTTGTGTCCATAAAGAGAGAGAGAGAGAGCAACAGTGATTGTTAGTAACCATAATAGGGGGAGGTAGGGAGAGAGA